TAATAGAAAATCAGGTAAGGGACTAAGTAAAAATGCTTTTAGAAAATTACAAGCAGAATTCAGGCATCAATCTTGGAACTAATCTTTTTAGTAAGAACATTTTTGTTAACTTTGCAGATCTAATCAGTCAGTGACAAAGATTTTTTGTTTACAGGAAGAATGGGAGCGTGTGTACAAGAAGAGTTGGGGGATTGGGAGGACCACTGTGATAGAAGTACCAAGAACTTCAACAGTACAAAGTGTCAAATGATGATCCTGGACTGATGGGGCTATTAATAAGTGTCTGTTGGGAGCTTGTATAAACTAGAAGTGAGTGAAGAGAGGAAGTCCCACATTTCTCACAGAATGGCCATGAATCAGAAATACAATACAGCCATTAAGGAAACAAATGTGACCCTTTAACTTTAATGGATCACATTATTTTCACAGAAGAGAGGGAACTATCTACATCGAAACACCTGGTGCCTTAGCCATGAGCTGTTACCTGGAATATCCAATTGTTTCTGGTCGCCCCTATTCAAGGAAAATTAATTCAAACTGGAATAAATGCAAACAAATGCAAGTAGGATGATCAGAAACAGAGAACTTCGCTTTTCAGAGGACACTAACATTTCATTTTGTCTAGCAAATGAAGACTAAGAGGGTTTAAGTCTATATAAGCCTAAATAGAAAAATAAACTCAGCTGGAGCACTTCATCTATTTATGCTGAAGAACAATACTGACATAACAGATGTATAGCATTATAAATACACTGGCACAGACATTACAGTTAGCTTCACTACCAAACGGTTCTAAAACTGCCTTCCAGTAGTAGAAGCTGGGGCCAAGTCCCAAATGTTCTTAAAATGGACCTTTGCTAGTAGTCTAGACAATTACATTTCATAAACCCTAACGGGGGATTAACTTCGTGACTCAGCCCGATGTTCCTGTATTTGGCCAACCACCACAGTGACATTCTCTAAATTTCTCAAACAATATTCAGTAACAGTTCCATGCTTAAACAGCATGTCAACCCAGATGGCCCTCTATTTGTCCAAAACAACTGAGGACACCAATTTTCAACAAAAACTTTGCACATGCCCATTTCAGGAATGCAATATTTTTCCCTCAGGGATGAGCCAAAGGCTTTAATTTTAAGTCCTGCTTTCACAGCTACAAAGCTAGCCTGTTAATGCACACAAAAGGCTGCATTGCCCTACGTTCACAATCCTCTATATAAGCCAATGATTTATTTTGCTAGCACACACTACACACGCTCGGGGTTTGGCTCCCTTTGAGGTGCAACTACAATAGCATAGGAGAAAACCCCCTGCTTTTTGGAGAGGAACACTGCAGCGAGAGTCCTACAAGAAGTCCTTACATCAGAAAGTCTGTAAGCCAAGCAACCAAATTAACTGGAAGACTAAATGTGATGATCATTTTGCAGTTTTCTTTTTTTGGAAAGCTTTCCAAGTCTTGTGCTTTAAACCAGCCAAACCATACTGAAAGTCCCAGTAAAAGCACCTGATCTGTCTCGTATCAGAAATGTGTCTCATTTCAAGAAAACCCACCACTATTGCCATTCCTTTTGCAGCTGATCAGCACACTGCTACAGGGAGAGACGCAATAGATTTTTTTTTTTCATAAACACATTGCACTATTCAAAGGTTTTCATCTTTAAATTTAATTAAAGAAAAATGTCTCAAAGTGATTAAGCATGTCTGACTTCCAGCTTCTTTTAATGGCACAAGCCAGTGCAGTAAATTGTAGAAAGCGAGCTCAGTTAGAATTTTATTTTAATAAAAAAAAAAAGAGAGAAAACTCTCAAGATGTGAGGTCCTATTAAAAAAGTGGCCATTCACTTGTAAACAATAAAAATGTTAAGAACACAAAGTTTCATACAGCTTAAACAAAACCACTTTTCTTAAGCAGTACAAGTAATGTTACAACACCATAAGAACACCAAAAGCAGAAAACAAAACAAAAAAAAAAATGGCAGAAGCAGCACATTACTTACTAAAATGATAAATTATTTACACTGAATGTTAATAACTTGACATTTTTATTGCTCCAGTGGTAGTGTGTTGACAAGTAAATGTAGTAAACTGTCATAGTGGGACAATAATAAACATGTATTTATGTTTTTGCATATGGATTTTTGTACCTATCAAGGAAAGCATAGGAACATTTTTCTAATTTATCAAGACCACACCAGATTTAGCAAAAATGTTTTCTGTTTTAAAGTGACCTACAACAGAATCCACACTTCCTAGACTTGTCTGTGCATGTCTTGGAACATCTGGGTTTTTTTTTTTTTCCTACAACTTCACAGATGCAGGTGGGGAAGCAGTAGGTAAGAGCTTTGATGCTCTGCCAGTATTCTTTAATACTTCAATACTCCTTAGATACAAAAACATACTACATACAAACCCAAGTATCTCCTAGATAAAAACTAGAAAGGAAAGTTAGCGTAAACACTTTCATATGAAAAATTAAACGTTGACTTGGTAGACAGAAACTGCTTTAAAAATCTGCTGCAAACTCAGACTACTGAGAAGTTACTAGTTCCCTTTTCTCCCTACTCTCTGCACAATGTTTTCTCTTTTGTTGGAACCAGTCAAGGCACTTTCTTTACCACTTCCACTACACTTTGCTAAGATTAATCTCTGTTGTATTGCTACAGATTCTTTCTCCAATTAACAAGTATCCTCCATAAGTAGGTTTGTCAATTCATGCTGACTTCTTATTTTCAAAATTGAGATTTTCAGTCTCATGAGATGTAATTACCTGTTGAATATTTTTATGTTAAAGCAAAGGATAGCCCAGGTAAAAAGGAACCTGTAGGCAGAACAGAAGTGCACAGAGTTCACAGCAGTATTTACAGCTGCCTTCCATCTTTAAATGAGCTATGGAACCTGTGTCTTTCAGATGCAAATATAATACTGCATGCTGGTTTTGCATTTTAATGCAAATTTATCTACTTATTAAAACACGGAGCTTACTGTAAATGGCAGGTTTGCCTCTCATTCTTCATTAGTTGCTTTATGGCCACATATTTAAATGTCTATTAAAACACAGAAAGACAAGACCCTTTCATGGTTTGAAGACTATACAATTAATAATTAAGGACAAAGTAAAATGTATGGAATTTACATACTTCAAATGTAAACTTAAAAATTAATATTCTGTGCTTAAGTCCCTCATGGTGCCCGGGAGAGACCCAGGGGAAGACAATCTGCTGCAGGCAGAGCAGCCTGTGGCACTGGACGTGGCCAGTCCCACGGGAAGGGGACAAAGGGATGAGGATGGGAAAGCAAAGCCGAGATCTTGTTCTGCCCGGATCTCTGGTCATATCGCAGCACGGGGCGGCCAGGGAGCAGCCCAGAGGGACTGGGGGCTCCTCCAGCTCAGGGTTTTCCCTTGGCTTGGCACAGCACTTCACAGAAACAAGACAGACTGAGAAATCGTGAGCTGAACACGATGAAGTCAACACAGGTTGAAGAGGATTTCTTTTAGCAGTGAGTCTAAAGACCGCTCAGCATTCACTGCTGGCAATTACTACAACTCTCATTTGGCTCGCCTGTTCTCTCAGTTGGAAAAGAACATTTTGAAAATACAGTCACATGAAGAAGAAAATAAGAACCTGCTGAGATTTTTTGAGTTTCTTACACACACAAAAGAAGAAAATTACTAACAAAGTTCTGGCATAACAGTAAGAAACTTACATTGTTCTGTTAAGCTAAGCTCCCTTCATTTACTCCAGAAACTTATTTGTAAGGGAAATATATAGAATTGGGTGTGCTATTTCTGTTTTGGTTTACACTGCATTTTCTGCCATTAAGTATATTCTCTGCTTCCAGTTAACACTCATCCTAAAAAAAAAATAGGAAAGAACACTTTGCCTGGTTCTGAGAGAGACATCTAAGCTGCAAGGTGTAGCTAATGTTAAATTCAAACAACACAGTAGGGCTTTATTCATTACGTTACAAATGCAATTATACAGTCAAATGAAACCTCTGCACTAAGTATACAGATTTCAGAATCTGAAGCATCAGCCTGTGATTGGCAACTACTGCAAGCGCTGGAGTCCGACACTCCTCAGTACAGTAAGAATAGCACAAAATGGGATTCGAAGTAACAACTTGCATAATACTGGCCTTCTGTAAACACTGTGTACAAGAAATCTGGCCTACTACAGTTATGAGAATGCAATGGTCTTACAGATAGTATATTTTAATACAATATTGCGTACTGAAGAGATGCAAATACATTCAGAGGAAATCCCAAGCCACCCTGAAACTAAAAAGCAACTTGGGATGATGTCACAAGGAGTCAAGTTGCTGCAGAGAAATGCCTGGACACTTAACGATGATATTCATCACAACTTGCAGATACTCACTCATCAGCTGTTCTTTCTCCAATTCCTTATTTCTAGTTAGGAAAGGGAGGGAACTTGCATCAATTTTCATTTGCTTGCTATTATCAAGTGGTCTTGCTTAGGCCAGCCATTACAGGAAGTTTTGCTACAATTAATTCCCTTTCTGAGATCAGGCAAACAGCAAAGAATCCAAAAAATACTTGTGAATTCCACAAAGCATTTGTGGCTATTCAGACTGTACCTGAATGCCAAAACATATGCATGAACCCTTTCAACAGATCCACTTCCTCCCACCGGCATATTTTGAAACACTACTTTGGTTTAGAGAAAATGTATTTCCACTGGAAAGGATGTTGTGTCACTTAAGTGTTAAAACATTGAAGTACTACCACTCCACAAAAAGAACAGAAGTGTTACTTCAGCTTTCATTTGGCTGTTCCAAATTTTTCTCCTTAGTAGTGAAGGTCTCCAATTACAGAACATTTTTTTTCTTACTTAAAAAACAAAACAAAACTCGACATTCATATATTGCTAACTTAAAAAGAGGCTTTAGGATATTTTGCTAATAGCAGCCACCATCTACCCCACAAATGCAACTTTTTCAAAGGTGAACAGTATTTAAGCCTCCTATTTCAGGTGCTACAAAGAACACCTTAAAAAAAAGAAGACAGAAATGCTGTGCATTTTTCATCCATTTACTAAACAAAGTGCAACTGAGCCCTACACATCTAATAGTATGTACAAACTCATTATGGCTTTACCATAAAAACAGCATGTGAATGGGTCTATACAATCAGAGGGATACTAGCAAATAAACTGATGTTGGACTGTTGGCAATAGAGTAAGAGCTATATTACATTCTGTAAACCTTGGCATACCACACTTTACATTATGCAAAGAGTCAATATTTACAAATCCATAGTGGGTAAAATAATTAACCCCCTAATGTAAATGATGATTTTTGCAAAGTGCAGGACAAAACCAGTGCTGTTGATTGCAAGTCCTATGCAAGCAAGTTATACTAAAATCATTACCACTAGACGCTTACCTGGACGTTTCTACTGAGGGTTTACAGGATTGCGACGTTTAGAATGAAATATAGTATGACACGGCATTAGGATGCATGTTTGAGGACAGCAAATATAGAAATTAATAAGGCAGCATGCTCAGAACAAGTTTAAGCAGCACTGATGTTAGATCCCTAGTGGCAACTATATCAGTTATTGTTAATGTCAAAAATTGAGTGCAACACAGAAGCCTCATTTAACATAAAAAAAATGTGCAAATTGTTCTTTTCTTAACAAAAGAAAGTAACGTAGCAAGGAAGATATTCTACTGAAGAACATTTTTAAGTCACAGCAAAGTAGACCATCTTCTTTCCAAAATCATCTACAAGGCACTAAGGGTAGAAAATGACAGGTAACATGAAAGACCAAATGCTGTTCCTCAGTCAGGTCGAAATATGGGATATTTTGGTAAGAACTCTATTAATATTACCTGTTGAAGAAGGGAAAAAGACAAGAACAGAACACAGTAACCAAAAAGTTCAAACCTTCAGCACAAGTTCCATGCAACATCAGCTAGTACGTAAGACTAAACACATCTGAGCTATTCTGTTAGGAGGGAATGTTTCCCAAAGTAATAAAAGCAGAGATTTCAGTCAATTTGAAATACGGGCCTTCTGGATGCTAGAGTTCTTTGGGGTGCCTACCTCTTTTCTTCAATCCTACACCATCTTCATGGCTATACATGAAAGTGGATGGAGAAGTAGTAGGACCACAGCAGCTTACTGATGGCAATTTCTAAGTCTCAATATATGCCACGGCTGCTCTTGTTAAAAGTGGCCTTCACGGCTGTATGTCAAATACAACTGCAAGTTTTTCTGAGAGATTTTTTTCAGCTAGCTGACAGTCTAGTAAGTTAAGGATTTTCTCAATAAAATCATAGTTATATTGAATACCAAATAAGCAACAGAATACTTACATACTCCATCATATTGCTAGTTTCGCATTTCCTTTTACTCAGCTTCCAGTGCAAACCAAGCTAAGAAAACAATTATCAAAGGATTAATGCATACCACAGCATTGTTTTGACGAGGAACATAACAAGCATTAGCAATATCAAATTATTAGGATCTGGAACACTTCAGACACAGGTTTAAGATCAGTATAAAGTATGAAATTATAAGACGACTGTAAAATTCCTACATGCCAATTATGCAAAAAAACTTACTAGTCTTAAAGCTGAAGAAAACAAGCACTCTAACTTTTCTTACCTTATGATATAGTCTGTTATTTTCCCATTCTAATAACTTCTGAATTGATCTTCTAGTCTAAAAAGTAAGTCAAAACTGTATTATAAATGGTTCAGTAGCCAGCCTCATCCAGAAGAATCTTACTATTACATTTCTGGCTTAAGAATAATTTAAGATAAGTTAGTTTTATAAAGTAGAACCAAGCAAAAGAAAATTATAAATGGAAGTCCTACCACTCCTCAACATCAGATCTTCTTCAGAAAAAAAAAAAACACCCATTTTTTTTTTTTAACTTAGGACTGCAACTTTCCCAGAATTAATTTACTTAGTAAGACATCCTTTTGAATTTAGTATTTTTGCCTACCATAGCCAAGCCAACAAAACAGAATCTTCCACATTCTCCTGGCCAAATAATGTGCTCACTACAGGTGGTCTACTGGCAACACGTCATTTACATACATGTAACTTCCAGATTTTGCTAATGTAATTGTTATCTGAATCCTGAAAAAATTTCACCACCACAGAACTCCAGCTCACAACAAACAGTGCCGGTATTTTCAACTCTTGGATACCAAAGTGCCTATGACCTTCATGTTCTGCTCTTTCCACAACTGTAGGAGGAAGAGATTTCTTGAATCAATTTCAGTGGTTCTTAAGGTCACAAAAAGACCGCTGTGATGATCTACTCTAGTTCCCGCATGGTATGCCACAGAATTCGATCCACCAATTTCTTTGCTAAAGCTGATAATGGTAGGTGAGCTGCACCACCTCATTATGAAAAAGATACAAAGCTATCCAATCCTGAATCAAAGACTAAATGGCAGAGAATCCATCCCTTTAAGTTTTTCCTGTGATGAAGCTATCCTTGGAATTAAAAAGTAGACGTTGTTTCCCATTTGAACTGTCTTAGTTTTACGTTCCAGCCTTTGGATCTCATAATGCCTTTTGTTGCCAGATGAGTGTACAGGGACTGGCTGGGCTGGAGTTAATTTTCTTCACAGCAGCTAGTACGGTGCTGTGTTTTTGATCTATGATGAAAATGGGTGTTGATGCCACATCAGTGTTTTAGCTATTGCTGAACAGCACTGACCAAAGGGATATTCCATGTCACATAACGGCATGCTCAGAAATAAAACTGGAGTCTATTCTTTCCAAAGTAGCCCACTGGTCTGCTGGTGGGAGGTGGCGATTAATTTGCCCTTGTATCACTTGGGTCTTCTTCCCTTTTTCTCCTTCACTTATTAAACTGTCTTTATCTCAACACATGAGTTTTTCTTACTTTCGCTCTTCTGATTCTCTCCCCCATCCTGCTCGGGGTGGGGTGGCTGAGTAAGCAAGTGGCTGATGGGTGCTTAGTTGCTGGCTGGGTTCAACCCACCACAAAAGAAAATGAAGAACCATCTTATACTTGTGAGAGAGTGATGAAATCACTCTAACATATATACACACATACCCACAGAAGTAACACCATGTTTCCTACCCCTACTCGGTACCTATTATTTGTACCCTTGAGAATTACATTAATGCTACAACTTCACATGGGCATGTATTTAGATTTTCACTATCACAAGAATATTAAATACGGTTTTAAAACTGCAAATATTCCATCTGTGTAACTCAAGCATATTCCTCTGCAATAAGAATGTTTATAAAGGCAGTTAAAACCAGCTAAAACAAGTCCTGTAACTTTTTAGTGACACAGGCTTCAGCGATCAGCAATTCAACACGTTAACATATTATGCATTTAGTGCATTTCTTTTTTTTTAAACCAAAACCTCAATGCCAGTCAATGCAATTGTTATTTTCTTAAGCAGGTTGGAAAGTTTGGCAAAACATTTCCATTTTGTTTTCTCTGAAAAGCAATGCCTGTTCCTTGTTTTTGCTTTCAATTTGTTTTATTAAAGATCATAAACTCTCAAAAGCCAAAAGCATTACTTTATAAAAGATTTTTACTTACGATCTTTTCCTATAACTGAACTGACAAGTGTGAGGTTTTTTCTTCCTGGTGCACCTACATACCATTTACATTTGTGGATAATAAGATTTTATGGCTGCAAGTCTTACAAACTATGTAGCTGCAAAGAATATCATTATGCTATGTCTATTTACGTATTTCCTAAACATTTACTGCTGTGATAAATTAATCCTAAATGTAAACCACAGAGGTAATTAAGATCAAGTTTACTTGATATTGCTAAAGTGCTTCTCAGAATTATTAAATTATTACTTTGGACCCGATTACAAGTATTGTTAACTTTCTGTTGCAAATAAATAAATAAATAAAGGGAAGTCTTTAAACTTACCAAATAGAAAACAAATTTGTGTTTATTCTTAATAGAAACAGCACAACAAAATACATCAAATAAACCATAGCTCAGAAATGTTATGGTAGTATTCAATATAAGAAAGTGATTTCCCCCTCGCCCGGGATGTGGGGGGTATGTGTGTGTGAAGAGGAAAAGTAATTTTCACTCCAGTTCAGGCAGTCTTTGAAGGTCAATGTCCAGTTCTGCACTCATTTAATTGCATTCTTAGACTTTAGAAATCCTGAAAATTTAGGTTATCATATACTCTATCCTGTTCTTTGAACTGAGATGGGATTAGCTATTCCTAAGACTATTAATTCAATTGGTAATTTGGTATAATTTACTTCATTAGAAAATAGAAAAAAATATGTTACGGAATGGAAAACAGAATATAATCCTTGGAATGCAAGTGAGACAAAAAAAGCGTTTTGAAACAGGGATGATACTATTAAACATTATTTCATGTTATCAGGAATTGCAAAATAAATAGAATAAGGAGAATGAAACATGTACTTACTCTTTTGTTAAGACAGACTACAGGCCACAGGCTACAGCCCAGTGTGCAGCAGCAGCACAGACAGCCACAAAGCAGCCATTTTACATTGACAGGAAGATTCTTTCTTAAACAGGCATTCACACGACTGATGCTGGTCTTGAATTCTTCTGGGGCAACCTGCAATAGAAGTGCTGAACTTCAGTGGAAAGTCATTACAGGTGTATTTTCTGAATAATTGGCTCTACAGATTAAAATGTAAATGAAACATAATACCATTATACAATGGCCCCATTCTCTAAAACACTGGTCACACAGTGAGCATGAAATGACACTTTCCTGCAACAAATTCATTTATGGTGCATGCTTTGCAAAAACTAGCATTAAAAAGCTAAACATCACTTAGATGAGCAGCTTCATCCTTATTTATTGCATCATTAATAAATGAATTGTCCTGATAACATAGCAGCCCCCAAAAAACTAGGAGTGGGATACAGCTGTGCAACATATGCACTGGCTACACTGACCAAGAAAAAAAAGGAAGAATGACAGACAGCTGGTTTCCAGGGGAATGCGGGGCAGCTTTGTAGTAAAACCACTTGTGTATCATGTCAAAAAAAGAGATAATATTGTCCAAATTAATTTCATACCAGTGCAAGTCTACACTGTGCCTGGATAAAGGTGGATCTCTTTCCACAAATAAATTCCTGAGGTTGTCCGTATCGACATGAGGCCACAACTTCACTTGTGGCTGCTTCCTAAAATAGGGAAGCCCGGAAAGACATATACGGGATTATATTCAAGGCAAAGAAAGGCATCTTGTACAGGGTTATGAATAAAGCCTAGCTGTTGAAAAACAGCTTATTTAAGTTCAGGAATATTCAGCAGAGCTTACTCAAAATAATGTTTTCTATATATTGCCACTGCAGAGTCACAGTGGAAAAGCATATTTTCTATCAGAAATAAACTCCTTTCTCCAATAGCAGATATATCTTTCTTACAAAAGAGTGACAGCACTTACCTATTTACATACCCCAAACCCCTTATCTCTCTACAGAATCTGTAACTTATATCTGACAAGTCAAATACAGATTCATGGTATTGATGCCACAATCCAGCATTCGAACACACAAAGCAGAATAATCAGATCCAACTTCAATAGACCTGACCAGACAGGCACAACTACTTAAAAGAACAACAAAAAAATCCCAAACAAACAAAACTTTCCTAACTACTTGCCATGTTGAAGAAAAAAACCCCCTAGAATGAGTCTGTATACAAAGCTGTGCAACTGCTACATCATCCTTCCAACCAAGCAAGCCCAACTCTGTTCACTGGATTCTGCAAAGAAGGGCAAGCAACGACAAAAGCATTAATTTAATGACAAAGACTCCTTTCATCAAAGGAGCAAAACTATGGGACAGGAAATGGAGAGGACCTGATTCTGCTACCTCCGCCTATTCACAAAAGCTAAATTCATTAAAATGTTGCAGGAAAGGGAGTAAATGAATACAACATCTGTTTCCTGGCCTTTTAGATGACCATGCAGTATAGAGTCAGAGGTCATCTGGGTTTGTACACAAGCCAGGCGCACAGTTAGTAAAATAAGAACGTAATTTAACATTGTGATTATTTTATAGCCAGAATTTTTAAGTACACAGAAAGTATTTCTTTTGCAATTATACAGACTTCCTCCTGCCCCCAATATTAAATACACTTTCTTATAATTTTTTTTACATACACAAATGGAGCAAGTAAAAAAAATTCTTTAGACTGTCTCAAACATCAACATTTAAATATATTTTACAATCGACATCTTTGTGGAAACAAAAGAAAAAAAGAAAGAAAGAAAATGGCAAAAAAACCACCAACCCAGAAATCCCATGCACTGGGACACTTTCAATGATCAGTACAAAAATCACATTGGTAATGTGGAAAACTAGCCCATACTTGCATGTATCCGAAACAGAATACGTAACAGAACTCTGAAGGATGTCTACATGTTCTTACCATTGAAATGTACATAAATGGCACTTTCTTTGGTAAATCTTTTGAAATTTGTACAGGTATCATTCTATGATTTTTTTGAAAGATAAAAATAAGTAGTTTTTTTTCCTTGACCCCCATTAGTACTTTTGCAATCAATCCCACTAAGAGAGTGTTTCTTTTTTCTATTAGACACAAAGTTTACTGGGCCTCGACAACACCACATGCCAATCCCAAAATATACAAACCTACAAAATGTATAAACCTACCAAAGACAATGGAATCACACAGTCTAGAATTTACTTTAACATGAAGAAATCTTATCATCAGTGACAACATCCAACATGAAGTCAATCAGATTCTTAGATCACAGCTGGCAGAAAAATTTGGGACCTAGTAAGAAAGCACTGGGATGGTGAGATTCTCTATTTCTGTGCTCATTTTAAAAGAGTCACTGTTCACATCAGGTTAAGAGTTTGATTCTACTTTATAAGAACAATGTTGAAGTACTCTCCTTCCTGTAGAGCACAACACTGCGAATGGCTAAACTAGAAACCAACTTTAGACACCACCAAGAAACAGAGAAAATTTCTATTTCAGAAATTTTGGTATAATGTTTACCTTAATGCAGTATTATGAAAGCACCATTACTACCTGTTAATGCATGAAACACTTTCACGGAAAGGTGAATCTCTTAGCTGCAACATGAAATTACTTAAGATGGTTTTGGCTAACCTAAAGTATTGGATCTATTTCTCCCTTTAGGAAATGTAATCACAATAAATATTTCTGTCAGTCAATGACACATCTTCATTTGAAACTACAGGAACCGGTGACCAAGATAAGCCTCATTCTGTGACAAATAGAAGCAAAACACCGTTTTGTTGCTCTCAGTTTACAGCTCAGTAATGGTTAAGCATTGTTACACAGCCACAAAGAATGAAATATCTGTAAATAAAATAACTGTTCCAATTTAGTAATAGAATGGTATCCAAATGAAAGAGTCACCAATGAATTTTGTTGATTTTCTGGCATAACTTTAAATCTTGCCTTTCTTGCAGGTAGAAGTATTGAAAGGTTACTATAAAATCACTAACGCATTTCAAACAGAGAATTAACAGCGCCTCCTGCACCAAGAAAGCTCCCTAAGAAAGTCTAGTTTTGAGTAATTTTGGAAAGTCTCTTGGAAAGTTTCTGTCCGGGTCTTGAAAAGAACAAGATAAGTATATAGCTCCTGGCTGTGCAGTACACCTTGTAAAGAAACTTTAGTTCCTTTTAGGTCTTTAGGGGAGGGGAAAAAAAAAAAACCAACCTAAAACATAAAAGGAAAGGAGGGGGTGTCATAATATTTTACAACAGGATGCAAGAGAATCTACAAACACAGGAAGACAGCAAGTAAAGCCCAGCAGGCCTGATCTTTCTCCTTCAGTCATGATCACAAACCCTATCAATCACATGTTGCAATGGGATCACAATACCAAGAGCACATTTTATGGCTTACATTTCCCTGCCTTGCACAGTAATCTCTGTATAGGACCCTTGTTGTTTTAAGATCAGGGCAGGAAACTCCACTTTCTTCCTTAAGGTTGACTGCCTCCATCATTTTCTTGTCACCTGGAGCAGTGTGTGCTATTGTGCCATATATCATGAAGAGTATTTTGTTAAAAGCTTTTAAGTGCTTGTTTTAAAACAATTAATAATCCTGTAAAACTGTAGCACACAATTTAAATTTAGACAAAATTTTAATTTAGGCCAAAGTCCAATCACATTATTAAAAGTTAAATATTGCCTCTGTATTAATTAATGTGTAGTTGAATCTTTTCTTACAATATTCCCTTGAAAACAGTGCACTGTTCAAAAACTTAGCTCATTATTTACAAACCAGCTGAAGCTTGCGTCTCATCCTGCGAGATAAATATTAAAGTCAATCTAGCTGAATTAGCTAGGCCCAACATTTCACCTACCTGATATTTTTGTTTCCTTTATTGTTTTATCCTCAAATATACACATTCACCTCTCCCAAAAAAAGCAACAAACATGTCTCAATTAAATATTTAAGACGTAATTACATGCATCTTCTCTCTAGGCAAATATAAAATAACTATCCAAACTGTAAAAACAGTGAGACAAGGAGGTCAGGGAGATGGGTGAAGGAGGGATATTTCAGATTTTAAAAAAAGAAAATGAGCGGAAGGTTTACTACCATCACCATGTAGATGAGCAAACTGAGAGTCAGGAAGCTGAAGTAAATTCCTAAGACTACACAGTGGCATACATCCAAAAAGTCAGTGCTTCTGGGTGACAGGTATAGCTAGATAGTTTTATCTATTCAGGCTTTTTATTGTGCATTGGATAGCTTTCTCTATGGTATTGTTTTGCTTTTTAATAAATACAGATGAAGATCTAGGTTTTTAAACACAGGATGAAAGTCTATCAACCCCACCTAAGGGCTTCATCTTTTACACTCCAGTAGCAGATGGGATATATTATTAATATCAATTCATAGTGGACAACAAAGCCATTAATGTTACACAGACATTCTGAATAAAGTATAAAGTTGCCTTATACTAGCTGTGTACTAATGCAAGTTCATCGTAAACATTTTAATCACAAACTGTTAATATAAGCAGTCACTATGCTATTCATAAATTGTGATTTCATAAAAAGTAAAAATTTGTATTTTAAGAAAAATAAAAGGTCTTAAAGTGATGTATCAATTGACTACAGTGTTTATTACTGTGAATTATTTATCAGGTTATTTGAAGAAAACCTACTTACTGGAAAAAAAATTATTTGAGTATTCATTTTCAATAGGGATAAAGGTGATTGACTGCCGCAACCACTGGAAGCAGCAGATTATTTTTTTCTTGCAATTCATGAAAGTATTAAAAACCAAAAAACCCACAACTGTGGTTTTTAATGTCTTTCATGGCAGCATGTGGCAGGCAGTGAGAAAAATATGTTTACTACCTCATTTGATGGGTGTTTTCCCCTCACAAAAGGGAACTAATTTATTTTCAAGGTCTTCTTACTCAGAAAGCCCCTCAAATTCACATGAGAAAAAGATAAAAGGATATCAAGATTCTCAACAGAAGCAACATACTTATATACAGCAAATCCCTGCTCATGTGATTTATGCTGTCACTGATTAGATCTATAGAACAAGAAGCGTAAATGCCAAGTAGAAGAAAAAAACTTCCTCTTTACTCTCTTTGCTAAATTAAGTCCAAGCAGTCAGCTGAACTTTAAATTAAACTTTTCTTCACTGTCTATTTAACAAGAGGAGGACAATCAAGTGGAAAACGTGACAGGCATTGATGCTTGTATTAAAAAGTGTAGGTTTAGAGGGGTTGGGTTTGTCGTCTTTTTTTAGACACACACAAATATATTTGAGACAGAAAGATATGAAATTATATAATCAAATTTAGTTTTAACATTCCCTGCTAGGTATTATTCTATTTATTATTATTTCTAACACACTAAACTTGACTAGGAAACCATAAAAATTATTTCCAAAAAGTATTCTGTGGCTTTCCAGTGATCAGAAAGGACTTCACAGAAAAGAATAATCGTTAGACATGCAAGGTAGTGAAATGCAAATGGTGTTATCACCAGCCCTCACAATTAAGACTCTATGGATAAGACTCTTCCTTTTGAGCTCAGTGAAATTCTGAAGCAAGGCCAGAGTTTCCAGGCTGTCTTTTAACAACCAAAAACTCCAAAGAGCAACCTGCTTTTCAATCGCACTGCTGTCAGAAAAGCTGGACAAATTCAACACAAGTATTTTATTCATTACATTGTGGGGTGAAAATGAAGGAGAAAAACCCCAGATGGATTTGGCAGAACCACAAAACACCATCCAGCTACGTTTTAGTATATTGTTAATATGACTCAACAGCTACTGCAAGAGGCTGCAGGGGCAGTGTAGCTGTATGGTATGACATTAGAGAAAGCAGTAAAAGCCAAATAAAGTTTTTCCTCACAAATTCTGGAAAAGATATAGAAGAAGGATATGAAATGAAGCAAAAGAAAAACACTCGAGAGTGAAACAGCAGAAAGAAAAAATCCAAGAGAAAAAGACTTCAAAATTTAAAGGTTAAAAAAAAAAATTTAGGACCATAACCAAGAATTTTGTTACAAGATTTCATTCATTAAAGCTACAAATGAATACTTATTAAACTTCCATTTAGTAAGATGACAAGAATCCAGAGAGAGCAAGAGACTTGTCACCACCAATTTTCAGAACTAAACAATTATAATTCTGAAAATGTACTAAAAACCTACTGAATCTTTACATTTAAGACTACAGTATTCTGTTCCTTAAAGCTTCGGATAAAACAGATTCTCTTCCAGAGATCTGTTGAAGTATAAGCTCAAGGCTTGACAGACACATTAAAAAGAGGTCTAGCATTTGAAATAATTTAATTCACACAGAAGGTAGCACGAAGTCCAGATATTTACAGCAAGGTTAAGTGAGTCTTGCTTTCATGTAGATTGCCTGTATGGAAACACTATGATGCCATGTTGAGCTTTTCTGTGTTTAGAACATCAATAATGATAGCAATCACTGCAAATAATTTTTTTTTGTTTCAAAGCATACTGCAGGGACTGGTCACCAACCAGCTAGTTCACACAGGACAAGAGTTATTTAAACAGTCTTCAGTGTAGTGCTGGGCTGCAGTGCGGATTCCCGAGCACGTATTTGTAACACAGAAACCACCAGATGCACTGGATCTTTCCATTTAAAAGAACAGTTTAATCTCACACTTACCTTCCCTGTCAGAACAGAAGGAAATTCTGTATCAAACTTGTTGCTCAAGCCAAACCTTGAAAACAAAAGAGACAAACAAAATATATTCCACCTAACTTACTTTGTTTCCCTTAATAAAAAATTGTAATAGATTTTGTACTTTAAAAAACCTATTCATTTCTTTTGTCCTTACATTTACATTATTCCATGAGCTTTCAATCTAAGTTTATATAAGGTCTCATGTAACATTCGTAAGGTCATTTATAAGACAGAGAAATATAGCTCGCTGCCTTACTTCAATACCTTCAAGTTGCTAAAAGCGCACAAATTCTTTTACAATTGGATGGCAGCAAGTGTCAATCTTTGCTTTCTTTAAGGAAAAAAAAAAAAGTCCAGCTATTAAATTGCAGTTTTAGTAGGTTCAATAATCCTTTTACTGCTATTTTTCTTACTCATGCAATTTATTCACATGCAACAGATAAAGCTAGTTATAAGGAACCCATTCATCATCATCATAGAAATTTATAAACGTAGTTTTAAAAACTGCTTTGGGCTGAGTTGAACTGTCTCATGCAAGACATGTAAGAGCCTACACATAAAACAGTTTTAAAACAACTCTGAACTTCAAGAAAATTAAGTCTTGGGTATCACTGTGACTATTCTTCATTGAAGTGTTCTTGTTACTGAGCAAGAGGTAAGTCTTCATTATAAGCAGGGAAACCTGCAGAGAGCTAGACTTTTCTTGTAAACCTGTGTTAACACTAGCTCCAAAACCACCGAACCAACTGAAATTTCCAAAAAGCTAGTGTTGTAGATCAGAAGGATACTCACAGTGCAGGCTGACTTAACTTCTTTTCTACTTCTATGCTTTAAATAATAATTAAAAAAAGTTAACTAAGCTCTGATGCTAAACCTGATAGCTTCTGCAGAACAGGAACTCTGTTCTTCCATCCCCTCTACCTCACTTGAAATCTTTAACCTTAGCAATTCATTAATTTAACACAATACAACAGTAGTTGGTACCTCAGCTACAACTTCATGTTTGAACAGAGCTTAATGGTATGTTGTAAAGTTAAATATACTGCTCATCAAGTTCACTGTCAGCTCTGCTAAACTATCTCCAGAGTATTTTTGTTCAAAAAAAAAAAAAAAAAAACCAAACCTCAAAAAGGATCACAGCCAAAAAGAGGAGCACAAATGTATTTAGTATTGTAGTATTTCTTGTAGAAACAAATCTTCTGCAAAGAGAGTATTTGCTTTGAGTCAAACTGACACCTGAAGTACAAATACTAGTATTGCTGAAGTGCCATCAGTCCCTCATCACTATATAATACATACGTACTCATGCGCACAGCATAATAATACGGATATCCAAACTTGGCAATAACTTGTTTAGAAGTATACAGAAGTCTAAAACAAAACTTAAAGAAGAGAGAAGCATAATAAAAGAACTTGTGCTGTCTTTAAAAATCCAGTAAGCTAGTTAAGATGTTTATCAACAATACTGGTAAAGTCCAATAGAGTTCTTCAATGGCTAATTTAAGTTAGAGCCTTGACTCTTGTAAGGAGCAGCATATTGGAACACTAGTTCTGTAAAACATTTTAGAAAAAACACCAAAAAGTAGATCTTAATTGAAGCATTTCTCAACCTTTGTCTCTTACGCTATTCTAAGCACTGTAACTAATGGCCATCTATTTGTGTTTGTTTCATTCAACGTATTTTCACTGAATTTGTTGAAAAGAGTGAGCGAACTGAACATCAGCACAGCATGGACTACTGCATATTCAAGTGAACTGGAAAGCCATGATGTTAAATAGTGCTAAAAAAACAAACAGTAAAAACTGTAAGATTGTAGGCAGGCACAAAGGTTACTAATACAAGCAAATTTGCATTCTCTGTGAATGTAGTCTGGCAAGTCAGCCTCCACTTTTTGTAGCTTCCCTTTTTAAACTGAAATCTTCCAAGTTTTGTTATACTATATATTTTCAAGGATGCCTGAAGAGCAATGAGGTAGTCTGTTCAGTCTTTAAAAAAATTCAGAAAGACTAAGGATATGAAGCACATACACAAGCTTGTTTTGAGGAATACGGACTTCTCTGTACACCAGCAATGAAACTACCTGAAATGATCACAAAGTTGTAGCAATCAGACAACATAATAAATGAACTACTAGAAAGTTCAGGTAATACTGCAGAATTAGTTACACCACCCATTTAATAGACTAATTCCACTAAATCATGGCCCACCTATCCCAGAACACTGACTCTTATACTAGCCAGTAGCAGATGCCTAGGAAACAGCAAAAAAAGGGGAGGGGAACAAAAAGCAAACATGTACTAGCATTTCCCCAGAATACTCTTCTGACCTTCAACCATTTGTAGTTCAAAAGCTTCCTAAGCCATAGGTAGTGTCTTTTATCTCATTGGTCACAAATACTCATTAAAATTCCCATTGCACCACTAATTTCCATAAAGAATAACATAAGACTGCTTTCTGATTTAGATCTATCAAGACTACAAGACCACAATATATTTTATTACATTAAATTTGAAGGCTGATAATGTCATGAAACATATTTAAAACCCAAACCTTTGTTTTGCCAAAACATTCAATTCAGTTAGAACATATCCAAGAAACCTCAGTTACAGAAATGCATCTCTCTCACACTGACACCTGCAAATGGCTAAAGAATATGCAAGGTTTTGACTACACTGAAAACAGGACTATACTACATTATAACACGTTTAGTCAGCATCACTGATGGTCTTTTGCACAGCTTTACTGAAGCATCTCTAGAAGTTTTACAGGCTATCCTCATGATGATTTACCACATAGTTCAGAAACATTAAACTCCTATGGGGGTGGGTTCAAGAACCAAATGAAAAAAAAAATTTTTGTTTCAGAGATGTTAAAAGCATAACGTTGTATAGTTCTACAGCTTTGCAAGCAACTTTGTAAAAGTACTGAAGCATTATTAGAATATGTAATGTAAAAAAGTTAAGACCTAAAGTCTTTATTAAGAGATAAGTAACTTCATTAGACCTGCTACAACAGACTAATGACCTAGCATGATTTGGCCTATGAAGTCTTCTAAAATTCAGTATATTTAAAAATTGCTACGTAAAATAAATTCCAGTACCTGTCCTTTAAATAATTTAAAACATCAGCTAGTGGTGACTTATTTCTGGGCTACTTCTCCAAGTCCTCAGCGTAAGCTCCCCAAAGTCTAGTATTTAGAAATTCAGGTAAGTCACAAATATACTTCGGTTGCAATTTTCTCACTGGATGACAGACATCTCTAAAAGAAAAGCACTGCTGCCTATAGGCAACAACATTGGAATAGAAATAGGATGACCTCACTTTTTAGTTCTCTCTTGTCTCTCTTTCCCTGTTTTAATGTATGGTATCAGACAAGTCCCATCACCTCATTTTCCCTCATTTGTAAAGGGGACAGAACGCAACTTCTCATACAGAGCTGCAATATATTCATAAATCTCACATAAATTAAAGACTGAAAGAAATACCCCGAATCATCAGCTGCAAATGCCAGCTGCAACAGGTATCCCATTATAGAATTCTTTCCATCAGCTTGCAAAGCATAAGGAAGTGTGGTCTCCTGTCCCCAAAACTGAAATAGGAATATTTTGGAAAACACTTTCTCCTATCTAGAATAGACATATTTACAGGTGCTTTTCCCCCCCCCCCCCCCGCCTTTTGACTTAAGTAGTCCTTCACTCTTGTTTACCCTACTACTGTATTTATAGATAGTAATCAGTCCTACTAGACTACACCAGCTAAACCCGTTTAATCAACTCTCATATGATAGGTTCCACAATCTTCTTTCAGCGTGGCTCCTTTCCCCGCAGCTAATCCAGGTTAAGTTCAGCCTACCTGGAACAGATGAACTCAGATCCTACACACTATTCTTTATGAGGAATCATCTTAGCTTTATCCAGCATTAGAGAAGATATTATCCATCTTTAGAAGATGTTCATCAAGAGCCCCAAGCTGAAATCTCCTTGAACACTTAACATTTTTCTTCCTAGTCTAGGGCCTTTTCCTATGAAGGCAACAGAACTTCTAAAGAGCATCCTTACCCATGTTTTGATGGATGATGTTTTGGAAAACTAAGTCTTTGATAACCAGTGGAAGGCTGAGGTAATTTTCTATTTTAAATATGTGGAATCTGCTATTTTAAATATGCAGAAGATGGAGCAACATCAGACAATAATCAAATGTCATCTTATCACAGGTGAGAGCACTAGGCTCTTCCCTGCCTTCCGTAATTGAGGACAATATGCTTTTCTTATCACCTGTAGTGTGGATCCCTGGGGCACTCCTAGAGAAAACGTAAATGGAATAACAGAAGTTAACCTGTATCCAAAACTAGGTTTGCACACTTAAGCAGGAACCAGGAGCTGCTTAATGGCTATCTCATTACCTCATTACTATCCATCTACATGGACTAAATGATATGGAAAAATTACATCAGATAAATAAAAACTTAGAACCAAGTTAGAGCTTGTTCACTGCTCTGTTTTGAAAGTTATTGCCGTTGCTTTGGTAGGCATATGACTCAGTCTTCACTAAAAATGTTTATGTTGAGATATTTGGATGCACCAATCAGAGTCACACTGGCTATGCAATAAACCCATTGTTCGCTGTTTCTAACTCATTAAAATGGAATTTCAGAAGCAAAGGCATTTATTCAGTCCTAGTAATTTCTCTGTGCTAAAATTCAAAAGCTTTCTGAAAACAATAAATACGACTGATAGTTAATTTTTTCAAAGCAAGAATCTTCTAGAGTGGAAGAGCGTTGAACAAGACGAGCATAAATTTTGCTAACTGCTTTCACACACATTCTCTCTCTGTGAGTAAAATAAACAAATACACTTTACATGATCACTCTTACCATGCACAGGGGTAAAAGGGTTAGCAAAACAGTCAGTGGGAAAAGCAAGATCCTGCTAAAAACCCTCAGAAGCTTCTTGGGCTTTATATTTAGTACTGTTGGATACTGCAGTAGAACTCTGTTAGGGTCAGCAGCTCACTGACACAGTCCTAAGAATAAAAAC